CCGGAGCGTGGAGCCCTGGAGGTGCTGGCCTGGGCACTGCAGAGATGCCATCCTGGTGACGTGGTGGTGAGAGAAGGTGTCACAACCCCTGGTGACCCGCGGGGCCACCTGAGTCACTGAGCTGCGCCCCGGACACCCACAGTGCCTGAGGGGGGAGAGCCTTGTGCAAGCCTGGGGAGCCCCAGGAGCAGCCAAAGGGCTGGGATGAGGGGCTGTGGCTGGGGACACACCGTGGCTCATCCCCACACCTCTGTGCTCTGCCCACAGCTCTTGGGAGGGCACCGGGGACAGGGGCAGCAGGGCCATCACGGACCCTCTGGGAGGCCTGGGGGCAGCAGGACCCTGAGGATTTGGGCAGTGCCTTTGGCCTGGCACGGGACACTGAGTGTTTCAGTTGATGTTTCAGTTGATGTATGCTTGGACCTGCTCAGAGCTGTGAGGGTGACAGGGCTGACACCACCCAGCCATGGTCTGTCTCAGCTGGTTGGTCTCCGGAGTTCAGGAGGTTTGAAGGGAGGGGGGCAGAGGGGCAGCTCCAATCTCTGCTCTCTCCAGGACCTGAGGGAACGGCTGGAGCTGTGCCAGGGTAGGGTCAGGTTGGATCTCAGGAAAAGGCTCTTCCCCCAGAGGGTGGTTGGGCACTGCCCAGGCTCCCCAGGGCAGTGGGCACAGCCCCAAGGCTGCCAGAGCTCCAGGAGTGTTTGGACAACTCCCTCAGGGACAGGGTGGGATTGTTGGGGCGTCTGTGCAGGGCCAGGGGTTGGATGGATGATCCTTGTGTCTTTCCAGCTCAGGACATTCCATGATTTGTGATTTCCTGCTCCTCCTGGGTGGTTCTGGGGTCGGGGGGGCTCCAGGACACAGTTGGACCCCCCCCAGCCCCCCCAGGCTCCGATCGACCCGCGAGTCCCGTCAGCCCTGGGGGAGCCCCTCGATCAATTATTTCTCTAATCTTATCTAACTGTCTTTCTCCTGCTTTCCCTCGTGTGCCTTCCCCTCCCTGCCTTCCCCTCCCTCCCCGGTGCTTTGTAGCCTCCCGACAGCCCCGCTTCCCCCCTCCAGCCCTCTGCTTTGATCCTCGGAAGAAGCAATTGATCCTCCTTATCTTTATTGTGGTACAGACATTCCCAGCGCTGCCCTTAATTAAATTCCTCTTCATTTTCCTCCAGAAGCCTTTCTTTGCCCCAACCCCCAGACGAGTATTTATTTTTAAACGTGCAATTAAATTATTAGGGCGGCCACGAGTGTGACAGCAGCCGGATCCACCAGGGCTCTGCTCGGGTTCAGGGGGTGAACTTGGGGGTTCCCCCTCCCCACACAGCCCCCCCCCAGGGGCTGTAGGGCCCACACGAGCTCGAGGTGCTGCTGGTCACTGGTCACTGTGTCACTGGGCACAGTGGCAAGGGCACAGGAGCACAGGCACTGGCCATGGTGGAGCTGGCACTGCTCACAGTGCCACTGGCACTGGTCAGAGTAGCACGGGGACTGTCCATTGTGGCATTGGCACTTGCCATAGTGACTTTGGGCCAGGCACTGGCACTGGTCACGGTGGAACAGGCATGGCCCACAGCAGCACAGGCACTGGCCATGGTGGCACTGGCACCTGACACAGTGGCATTGGGACCTACTGTGCTGGCACTGGCCGTGGTGGCACTGATGCTGGTCATGGTGCCATGGAGATGGACCACAGTAGCACAGGCACTGGCCACGGTGGCACTGGCACCTGCCATAGTGTCATTGGCACTTGCCATAGTGTCATTGGCACCTGCCCTGGTGGCACTGGCACTTGCCATAGTGTCATTGGCTCCTGCCACGGTGGCACTGGCCCTGTCCCCTCCAGGTGAGCGCCGGTGCCCCCGGCTGTGTCTCTGCACCGCTTTAAGCTTTTCCGCTCGGAAATTTTCCCTCCTCCAGCCACTTTGACCTCGAGGGCAGGGAGTATTTTTCATGTGGAGCAGCCGAAATTCCCCCGGAGACAGCGCAGGAATGCGAGGCATGTTATCCTTGGTACCAGCTCTTTCTTTTTACGGCCTAAGCTTGGCCACGCCGGCGGGGGGGGGAGGGCGGCCGGGGTCCTGCGCCGTTCCCATCCATGGCTGCCAACATCCCCCCCAATCCCCTTCCTCCTCATCCCTCTCCTCCTTGGGAAAACCCCCCCACGCTGTGCCAGGTTCCCGGGTCTCCGTGCCCGGTTTGGGGGTGAGGTGATCAGCGGGCCGAGCTGGGGGTGAGGTGATCACGGCAGCACCCCCAAAATGAGGGGAGCACCTCTGGGTCCCTCCAGGGCTTGGTGCTGCCCTCCTTGGGAGATATCCGGGGGATATTCTGGGAGCTCTCCCGGCAGAGCAGAGGGCAGCAAGTGCGTTGTTTCATCGTGCCGGGCTCGTGCCGTGGGAGATAAATCACTGCCCGTCCGTCTCCGTGAAGTGCAATTACCCCCGAGATACAGAAGCAATTTATTGGGATTACTCCATCCGGGCTCGCCGCGGTGACAGCAGGTCACACACACACGCCAGGCAGGGCAAGGGGGGCAGTGCCCCTGTGGGACCTGGGCACCCCGGGGCACCTTTGGGTGGCACTGATGGGACCAACCCCAAACGGGGAGCAGAGGGAAATCCTGCAGAGGGAAGGCTGTGCCTTCAGGAGCGGTGCCACCTCAGGTGCCCCTCATCCCCACACCCACCCCTGATGCCCCCAGTGATCTCTGTCCCGCCCTGAGCACGGTCCCTGCGTGTGCCCAGTCACCCCCTACGATGCCACACCAGGGAAGGGGTGGCTCAGCCCCGGGGGCCAGAAGGGTCCCCGTGCCCGGTGGCACCAGCCTGGCGTGTCCCGCAGCCCCCGGCCCTCGGCCTGATCCCGCTCTCAATAGCGGCGCGGGAGCCCAGCTGCAGCTATTACATAAAATGCAATTAGCGCGGGGCGAGGGAGGCCTGAATGGCATTAAGGAATTCCTCCCGGGCTGACGTCAAAGCTTCACCTCTCCTCCCAGCGCCCGCACAAAGGGGGCCCTTTATGAGCCCCCCCGAGCCCGCCGTGCCGGTGCCCGCCGGGAGAATGCGAGTCCTCAGGGAGCCCCGGGCTGCACATGCCATGCGGGAATTGTCCCCGCGGCCGGCACGAATGTCACCAGCGGCTCCCCGGCTCCCAGCGCGGCGTTGGCTGGCTCCCACCTCCCCCTCGCTGGGCATGGGAAGGTGCCAGTGGCCCCGTGTGCCAGCTGCTTGCCCGCGAGAGGGGGGGGCTCGGCCGGGTGCCCTGCCCGGGGAGCGGGAGGATGCTGGAGGGGCAGTGGGGTGACAGTCCCGGCTGGCACGACCCATCCTTGGGGCAGGATGGAGTGGAAGTGAGGAGCAGGGAGAGGGACAGGCAGGTCTGGGAACGGGAGGTGCCGAAATTCCCGCTGGGATGGGATCACCCAGCAGGCTGGAGGAGCTCTGACGCTGCCCCAGCACCGGGGCCTCCTCTGGCTGCTGCCAAGGAGGTCACAGGGACTGGGCAGTGCCAGGACATGACCGTTCTGATGTGAATGTCCCCAAGTGTCACCGGCTGGGGGGGGTGGCAGGACTCACATGTGTGGGGCTCCTGCCCCAAAATCTCCACAGCGATTGTGTGACAGGACAAGGGGTAAAATGGTTTTGAATTAAAAAAGGGTCGGTTTAGATGGGATATAAGGAAGGCATTTTTTAAAATAAGGGTAGTGAGGCCCTGGCACAGGTTGCCCAGAGAAGCTGTGGCTGCCCCATCCCTGGAAGTGTCCAGGGCCAGGTTGGACGGGGCTTGGAGCAACCTGGGCTAGTGGAAGGTGTCCCTGCCCAGGGCAGGGGGTGGAACTGGATGAGCTTTAAGGTCCCTTCCAACCCAAACCATTCTGTGATTCTCTGGCTGCTGGTGCTGAGCTGTGGCGCTGGGGCAGCGCTGCGCTGCGGGCAGGAAGGGGTTAAGGCGCTAATTGGGGTGGGGGGCTCCACCCTGGGCTCCCACCCTGCCCCTGCCCCAGCCCGGCGGGAAGGGAAGATGCTCCGGGATCTGCGGTGGGGACCGGGGGCCCTCCTGTGGCTGCGGGTCCGCGGTGCCGCGTCCCCCTGCCCGCAGCCCCCTCTGCCTCTGCCTCTGCCTGCGACGCTGAGAACCACCAGCAAAAGAGGGTTTTTCCCCATCCACTTCCCTCCCTCCGGGCGTGGGGCTGGCAGGGTGGGGGCAGCTGCACCCCTGGGGTCCCCCCAACGGGCTCTCAGGGTCTGGGCTCAGCGGATGGAGCTGAGTTTAGGGAGCTCTGGCTTTGGGATTTAATTATTCTCTGCTTTGTTCTTACAGGTATTTCATGGAGTAAGGGCTGACCTGGTGCAAGGTGCTCCTGGCTGGGACGTGGCAGGGCAGGGAGCTCTGCTGGACCCCAGGATGGGGCAGGTCCCCCACTCTGGGCAGGCCCACCTCGCTCAGATGTTCACGGGGATAAATGTGACTGTTCTCCCCAGAGAGGGGGTGCCCTGGGTGTCACCTGCAGCAACGGGCCCCAGGGAGCCTCCACAAAGGTGTGGCCTGTCCATACCTGTGTGTCCCACCTGGGCACAGCCCTGCTCCTGCACAGGGGCCTGGCTGAACCTCCTCTCTGATCCCAAACCCGTGTCACCTCCCAGATGCCAGAGGACTTCTGATGCTCAAGCTGTGCTGGTGTGAGAGGTGATGCTCAAGTGCTGAGGGGATGCAGGGTGGGCTGGCTTGGCCCTGGGAGCACAGAGGAGGTGGGAGAGGACAGGCAGCTTCTCCTCCACGTGCATCTGTGAGACCCCCAACAACCCTCCCCAGCTCCCTGTGCTCTGTGCCAGCCCTGGGAAGTGCCATGGAAAAATGTTAAGGGCCAAATTCTCAGCTGAGGCAAAGTGGCTCAGGGCCTCAAGGCCGGTGGTTTTGCACCAGAGGAGGACCTGGCTGTGCACGTACTTTTATATATATATTTATATATATATGTGTGTGTATAGATATATTACATAAATATATATGTATGAAATAATTTAAGAAACATCCGAGACAGCATGCTGTGCTCTGGGGTGGGGCTGGGAGGCAGCTGCTCCCCCACCCCTGTGCCCCACCAGCTTTGATTCACAAATGGAAACAGAGTCTGGAATTAAATTAAAAACCGCACACGCGCACACACACACGACACAGGGCAGAGGCTGCAGAACTCAGAGGCGTGATGCCAGAAAGTCCAGGTGTCCCTGAAGAGATTGGATCAACTAAAGCCAAAGAACTGGGAAATAAATAAATGAGACCAGCGGAGGGGATCTCGCTCGTGCCGGTGCCGTCGGCAGCACCGGGTCCCCCGTGTCTGCCCAGCCCCTGTGGGGACACCAGGACACTGTCACAGCCCTGCTCTGTCCTGGCTGGGCTGTGCTGGGCTCGGGAGAGGCTGGTGGGACGTGTGTGTCCTGCTGTGTTTGCCTTGGACCCGCTTTCTCCATCACCACGTGCTTTGCTTTCGCTCCATCCCAGAACTGAGCTTTTCGCCACCTTGGTCGTCAAGGACGAAAGGGAAAACCCAGCCCCAGTTAACCCCTCTCCTCTCTCTGCAGGAAGCTCTCCTGGAGCCAGGCTTGGTCCAGCTCAATCCTTCCCACCACCTGAAGAGCCCTGCAGAAGATCTCCTTCCCACGGACTTCGGGGTAAAAAACCATCCAAAACCCCCCTAGAAAAAACCCAGCGCCCCATAAACCAAAAATGTCTTCCAAAACTCCTCCTCGTTCCCCATCCCACCCTCCCCAAACACCCCAGAGGACTGACTGAGGGATCCCAACTCCAACTCCAGGTGACCACCGAGGGCTGGAAAAGCAGCCGGACCGAGCGCGTGAAGAAACAACCCCGAAGGCTTTTGGACCCCCGTGCCCTCCTCCCTCTCCTCGGCGGGAAATGGAAAGCCTCCCCCCCGAGCTGCGGGATCAGCTGGGGAGCAGGACGTGCTCCAGGAAGTAGCTGATGGAGTCCCAGTGCTTCCAGAGGAAGAAGAGGAGGAGGACGAGCAGGGCGGTGCTGAGGATGCGCATGCGGGTCTTCATGAGCGGCGTGATGAAGTTGGCGATGGTGGAGACGAAGACGAGCAGCACGGCCATGAGGGCCAGGATGACGTTGATGAACTTGCCCAGCAGGGCCCGGGCGTTGGCGTTTTCCACCCCTTCCAGCTGCACCACCTGCTGCTGCTGCTGCTGCAGCTCCAGCTTGGTCACCCGCGTCAGGCAGGACTCCACGGCCTCCTGCGAGGGGCGGCGGGTCAGCGGCTCCAGGGATGCCCCCCCCAGGGATTTCGGTGCCTGTCCCACCCTCCCGGACCTTGCTGTGGGGAGGTTTTGCTCTGGCTGGGCTGGAGGGTGTTGGGAGGACCCACCTCAGCAGGGAAAATGAGCCAAACTGGGACGGGGGGACTGTGTTGGCCTGGAGCACCCGGGGACACCAGCACAACAGGGACTCGCTGGGATTCCTCTTTACAGGGGCATGGGAGTGACAGGACAAGGGGGAAAGGCTTCCCACTGCCAGAGGGCAGGGTTAGATGGGATATTGGGAAGGAATTCTTCCCTGGGAGGGTGGGCAGGCCCGGGCACAGGTTGCCCAGAGAAGCTGTGGCTGCCCCTGGATCCCTGGAAGTGTCCAAGGCCAGGTTGGACGGGGCTTGGAGCAACCTGGGCTAGTGGAAGGTGTCCCTGCCCATGGCAGGGGGTGGAAGGAGATGAGCTTTACTGTCTCTTCCAATCCAACCCATTCTATGGTTTTGGGGACATGGTTTAGTTACCTGCTTCTTGCTGTGACCTGGAGGGTGCCAGGAAAAGGGATCCCCCTTCCCCACCCTCTATTCCAGCCCGGGGTCTCTCCCTCTCCCCGTGGATGGAGGGTGCAGCGAGGGGGCTGAGCCCTCACCCTGCCCTACCTGGATGTCCCGTGCCCTCTCGTAGGACTGGTAGGCCACCTTCTCCTCCATGCTGGCCAGCTCCTGCTTCAGGTTGGTCATTTCGTTCTGGTGCAGCTCCGTGAGGTCGTTCAGCTGCTCCTCCAGGCGCTCGTACCTGTGCAGGAGGGGCACTGAGCTGGGCAGATCTCCCTGAGACCCCCCTGCCCTCCTGCCCCTGTCACTGGGGACGCCACCCGGCCCCTCCAACCCTCCCCTGCTTGTGGCTGCTGAGGGAAAACATCACAAGATCCTCCACGAGGGTCCGGCAGCGAGGAGGGCAGTGGGGACATTCCATGTCCTTGGAATGCAGTGCTCAGCTGGACAAGCCCAGGACGGTGGTTTACGGTCCCCAAAGAGCCCCCCTGGGTGACACAGGCCCCCCCCACCCCTACCTGTACCGCTCCTCCTGCAGGCACTGCGTCATGTAAGTGTAATCCCGCTGCAGCTGCGCCTTGAGGTCCTCCATGGAGTCCTCCAGGTGGGACTGGCTGTCCTTGATCTCCCGCAGCTCCTCCAGGATGGTGTCGAAGTTGTTGTGGTGGCTGTCCAGCGTGTTGGACTTGGGGCTCCCCAGCCCGCCGGGCCCCGCGCCGGAGTTGCTGCCGCCGGCGGAGCCCGACGTGGCGCTGGAACACTCGTCGTCGCTGCCGTACTTGGGGCTGGACACCAGCGTGGCGCTGCCGCTGAGCGCCCGCGAGGCCTCCTCGGGGTGCCCGTCGTCCAGCGTGTCCTTCAGGTGGGCGATGTTGTCGGCGCTGCCGAACTTGTTGCGGATGAGGCTGGCGAACTCGCGCGGCTTGGACACCACGGCCGTGTGGGTGGCCTGGGAGAGCCCCGAGAGGCCGCCCTTGACGCCCTCCACCACGCCGCCGCTGAAGCCGCTGATGCTGGAGCGCACGTTGGCCCCCACGTCCTTGAGGCCCTGGTGCATGTCCCGGAACACATCCTTGGGCTGGCGGGAGGGGCCGTTCTGCTCGATCTCCTTCAGCTTCTTGTGGTAGTGCTCCAGCTTCTTGTGCAGCTGCGCGATGGTCTGCGCCGACTTCTGGTTCTTCTTCTCGAACACCTGCTTGATGCGCGACGCCTGCTGCTTGTCCGCGTTGTTGGCCAGCTTCAGGTACTCGGCCACGTTGTCATCCCGCGCCTCCTGCTCGATCTTGATCTGCTCCGTGATCTTGAGGATCTTCTGGTGCAGGTGCTCGATGGCGGCTTTGGTCCGGTGCGGGTCGGGGGTGCCATCGGGCACGTCCAGGCACACGGTGCCGTCGGCGTCGCCGTGCCCGGCGCCCGGGGGCAGGTTCAGAGTGGTCACGTCCCCCTTGTCCAGCTGCCAGTGAAGAGAGAGCGGGGTCATGCTCAGGGGAGGGAGAAAACGCCCCAGGGAGGGGAGGGGAGGGGACAGGGGGCACAGAACAGGGGACAAGCTGGGCGGGAGAATAGTTAACCAGAGCGACAGCGAGGTGTGGGGTTGTTTTCCAAGGTGTTGGGTTGTTTTCCAGCTGGTTGAACATTTCCCGGCCACACCACCCCTGCTGGCACGCCAGGAATACACCAGTGAGGGAGCAGAGCAGCCAAACAATCAGGGCTTTGGGGCTGGGTTTTCCCAGTGCCTTTCACCAAGGAGCATCTGCTGCCACCAGGAGCTCGCCTTGACTTTCTGCCCCCGCTCCGTGCAGGGACAGGGACCTGCCTTTCTGGGCTGCTGGACTTGCCAGCCAGGGAAAGGAGAGAGGACAACTGGAACCCATCATGAGATCTCCCACCCAAGCAGCGGAGAGGACAGGGATTGAGCAACCCAGAGGTATTTTAGTCTCGCTTTCAGCCTGGCTTTTAGCCTGGATGGCCCCGGGAGCTCAGCCCAAGAGAAACTCTGCCCTAACCCCGAGCTGTGGGTGACTTGGGATCAGCTCCTGATCCCAGAGCTGCAAGTGCAGGGATTCCTTTGCTCGCTTTTCCAATCCTCCTCACCTAGCAATGCCAAACTCCTCTCGGAAACACGAGCCGCCACCCAGGAAATTCGGACAAATGCCAAATTCCATTTTACAGATGGAAAAAACTGGAGCTTTGGGAGAGGAAATCACTTGCCTGAGGCCACATTTAAAATCACTGGCAGGGCCTGGACTGCAACCCAGGTCCTGCCTCGTGCTCTCCAACCCGGAATTGCTGCTTGGCCACTTGGGGAAAAAAAAAAAAAAATCCACTAAATCTTTCCAGTTGCTGGGTTTTATATGCAGATTCTTATGCAAAACCTCCCTGGTTGTATAAATGGCTCCTGGCTTCTAATTAAGAGCTGCTTGAAAGTTAAATACTGTTGGCAGACCTGAATAATTTCTAATTTCCATCACACTTTCCCCGAATGACCCCTTAATAGGGATAATGCTGCGAGATCATTGCTTAGGAGTGTGTTATCTCCAGGAAATGCCGGGTGCAGGAGGGAGGAATGTTCTCAAGATGCTGCTTGTGAACATTCCCATCTGCAGCAGGTCCCCAGGGGGCTTGGAAAAGCCAGAGCCAACATTGCCCTCCTGTTATTCACTTGCATCTCCTCCTTCCCTGTTGTCCTGCTGGGAGTCTGGGGGTGTTGGAACTTCGTCTGGAGTTCTCAGCTTCCTTGGGAGCAGCCCCAGCCCCCTCCCCAAGGGCTTTTGGTCTCTCTCCACTCTGTAATTTGGGGCATGGGCTGGAGGATGAGAGCAAAAGGCAGAACCCAGCTGGACTCACTGTCTGGAGTGGTGATTTTTAAATAAACATTAATTCCCAACAAATTAACTGCCGAGTTTTCAGCCCCTGCTGCCAGGCTATTCTTAGCCACTCAGCCAGGCTGGGCCCCCCACGAAGGGTTTTGCTTTGGTTTCTTATCAAGAGGCAAAAATTAGAAACAGCAGGAAACAGACTTTTTGCCCAGCTGTGCAATTCTGTGCAGAGAGAGAGGGAAAAACTGCCCCTGGCAGAGGAAAAGGCAGGTCCGGAGGTACCGACATGGGAAACCCCGGCTGGGCCAGCCAAGGGGGGAAGTTTCCAAAGAGGGAAAGGTTTGGGAATCACCCCTGTAAAGCCAATCTTTTGGATTGGAAAGAGAGTAGGTTTAGAGGGGATAGTGGGAAGAAACTCTTCCCTGTGAGGGTGGGCAGGCCCTGGCACAGGTTGCCCAGGGAAGCTGTGGATGCTCCATCCCTGGAAGTGTCCAAGGCCAGGTTGGAGCAGCCTGGGCTTGTGGAAGGTGTCCCTGTTCGTGGCAGGGGGTTGGAATAAGATGATCTTTAAGGTCTCTTCCAACCCAAACCATTCTGGGATTCTGGGATTTGTTCGAGGGATTATATTTGGGAGCACGGGGGGAAGGGAGGGGCAGGATGGGTGGTGAACTGCACAGATCCAGTGCTGCCCATCCATGCTGACAGGGCTGGGATGAAATCCTGTCCCCTGCTCTCTCTCAGACACGGGACAGATCATAGGAAAGGCACATCAGGTTATTGCTTTGAAAACAACAACCAAAAAAACCCACAATACAGATCTCTGCAGCATTAACAGACACTGCCTGCTAAATCCCAGCAAGCCTAAATGACTGTGCAGTGGATTTAACAAGGGGATTATTAAAAGCCACACTTTCCCTACATGCAGAAAGCCCTCTGGTAGGCACATCAAAATGAAAGTGCTGTTTTCCAGCACTTGTTTTCCAGGCAGGCTCGGAGGGGAGAGCCGGGGGTGATGTGGGATGCGGGAGGAATGCAGGACGCAGGGAGGGAAATTATTCTTATCAACAGAACTCGGCCCAGGAGAGCTGAGATATGCAAAAGGCTCGAGCTAATAAGCTGAGCAAACAGTGCTTAGAGGGCCACGGCCTGGCACAATTATGCAATGCCGGGTTCTTTGGTGCTGCAGGTTTGGTGGAGGGAAGCCCAGCAGGCAGGTGAGGAGCTCGGGGCCGGGGCCCTGCAGTGCAGCCTCGGGTCTCCCCACACACCCCCGGCTGGATTTAGCCCCCTCCTTAAGAAATTGCACAATTATCGCAAAGTTCAGAGCGAAACTCTCGAGGCACTTACTCATACCCTGAACTATTCTGTTTTCCAAGCCCTCCAGCCCACTGGGAAGCACGGTTGGATGAGTTACTGCCGCGGCTCGTGCTGCATCCCCCCCTGGAGCGAGGACTCTCCCTGCAAAGTGTGGCTGTGATTCCTGGCTGGGATACAAAGGCCGTGGGAAGGACCACGTGCACCTTCAGGCATGGGAAAAACAAGTGCCACTGGGCTGCTGAGGGATGTTGGATGCAGGGCACACGCAGGGAGCTGCTGTGCTGATCCGGCGGCTCCACAGCAAAGGTGTCACCGTGTCTGGGTCCCTTTGTGGCTGTGCAAAGCCACGGGGGAGAGAAATGCAGGTGGGTAGTGGACGTGGGGAGGGTGATTTTGGGGCAGTTATTAAATGTGGCCCCTCTTCCCCAGAGCACTTTATCAGTGTAACTCAGCACAGCATCCTGTGAGCCGGCGACTGCCCAGCGTCACCAGGGACACCCAGAGTGTCCCTGTCCCCATCCCCACGTGCCTTCCCAGCCCTGAGCCTCCTGGAGCAGAGCTATTATTCCCACCAGACCCACCCCAGCTGTTGAAAATAGAAGCAGGAGCCCTGACTCACACTTCCCACCCTGCTTTGGAGCCTGCAGCAGCGCCCGAGGCGGGCAGCCCGTGTCCCCCTCCGTGCCCTGCCCGCTCCCTGCTCCCGTGCCATCCCTGGATGGGCACAGCGGGCTGGCAGCAGCTGCCTCCGCTCATTTACCAGCCTGAGAACCATTTTCCTTACATAATGCAGGGAGGCACGTTCGGGGATTCAGCTCCCAGAGGAGTTTCCCACCCGGCACGGCCCCGGTGGGTTCCGTTCCCCGCGTGCCAGGAGCGGAGGTACCGAACCCCCCCCGCGGGTCTCTCTGCCCCTCACCATCCTCCCCATCGCCTCGCTCGGACCCCAAACAGCTGCCAGGACCTACCTCCATGGCGGGCAGCGCTGGGGTGCCCCGGGGCTAGTTGGCGTGGGTGGCTCGGCCGTGTCCCCGCAGCGATGCCCGGGCAGTGCCGGCTGCCATGGCCCGCTGCCCGGCCGGGGAGAAAGCAGCAGCTGATGGCAGCGAAGTTTTGGGGGGAGCAGCAGGGAGGGAGGAGGAGGAGGAGGAGAAGGATGAGGATGACCCCCCCTTGCAGCCCCGGCAGGGCTGGCCCCGGGCGCTGGGGGAGCGCGGGGACGGAGGCGATGGCTCCGCCGGGATTGCCGACTCAGGAAATCTGCCGGAGCTGTTTACAGCTCCCAGCGACTGGAGCTTTCAGGGCTGTAACGCAAAACCCCCCTCTCGTCCCCGTGCCGGGATATTCACACGCCTCCAGCCCCATACGCTGCCTGGGCCCTGACGCAGGGGGTCGGGACGGGCTCCTGGCATCTGCTGTGTCACAGAGCAGCACGTACAGCCTGGGAGAGGCAGGGGGAGGGCATCCATCAGGGAGAAACCCCGGTGGAACAGGCACACGGGGAAAACACAGTCATTCTGCACGGAGCTGGGCAGCCTGAGGCAGCTAAATGGGAACCAGCCACTCCTGCCGGGACCAGGAGGTGTCTTCACCCTCGGTGGGCACTGGATGGACCTGGATCTGTCCTCTCCCATGGAGGGAAAGGCACTGACCCGATTCTACCACGGGAGAAGGTGCAAGGCACAGAAAACACACCCAGCTGGCTGACCAGATATAGGTGTTGGAGATTCACGTGCAATTCAAAAAGATATTAAATGAGATGTCTGAAAAGCAAGCGGGGACAGGCTCGGGCACAGCTGAAGCCAGTGGCAGTCTGGAGTCACCCCCTGGGCACTGGGCATTTATTCCTGGGCCAGCAGCTGAGGAGCCAAAGGGCGAGAAGGAGACCTGGAGCTTGAATGTTTGAGTCACCCCAGACCCGTGGGGCTGCACAGAGCAGGGCTGATGGATCAGGCCTGGATAAGAGCAATTGAAGGAAGCAGAACTGAAGCCCAGAGCTGTGCCAGACCAAAGCTCTGCTGATGCTGAAACCTCAAACCCACTGTGGCCACAGACACAGGGCTAACTGGGACAGGTTCCTTTGCAGCTCTCTGCTTTAGTTATTCCTCAAAAAAAAAAAAAGCAACGAGGCAACAAGAGCTTAGGGAGTATTTGCAGCCGCCCGTGGAGCGGAGCAGGCCGGAGCGATGAGCTGACCGTGACCTAGATCCATGTGTAATGGGGAAGCCTGTGCTGCTCCCACAGCTGAGCCAGCCCAGCACTGCTCAGCCTCGTGCCCTGCATGGCCTCCTGGGCTGTCCCACAGCCATCTGTGCCCTGCAAGTGCAGCCTGCCACGCTGGAGAGCAATGCTGCACCCCGAGCTGTGCTGCTTGAGACCCCGCAGCCTTTAGCCTGGCAATGCCAGGCACTCCTGGACCAGCACTGGTGCCTGTGCTCCAGCTCTCCGGGTGCCAGGAGCAGGGAGAAGGCAGAGCTGGAGCAGCCTGTCACGGCCCAATCCGTGATGTGAAGCTGCCAACACACAGCTCAACACCAACAACTAAAATCCTTGCCCACTTCCAGCCCGGGCTCCCACCCCGGCGGCACCGGCACCGACCATCCCGAAAGGCACAGAGAGAAGAGCAGATTCCCCAGAAAATTAAACCCAGCAGGAGCAGAAACCAGCTGTGCCTACCATGTGGTGCTCAGCCAGGCTGGGGAAGGGTGAGGACGGGGCAGAGGTTCCTCCTGGTGCTGCACGGGCGCTGCGGGGCCGCGGGAACGGCCGGAGCCCGCGGTGACGCCGCGGCGCTGCCCACGGGGACGGTGCTGGCAGCACACGGGGCTCCTCGCCAGCCTGGGTAGGAGCAGTGTGTCTCCCGTGGGCTGGCACTGCTGCTCAGCCGTCCCCCTGAGCCCAGAGGGTGGATTCAGCAGCCTGGCCAAGCCTCGGGCCGTGGATGCCTGGGGCATGACACGGGGCAGATGAGGAGGGACGGTCAGCTCGGGGCTGGTATCTCCCATAGCATCACTTCTCCTTTTAGCACAGGAGTCAGAGGTCACTTCCCATCACTCTTCTGCCGTCTCAGCAGGGCAGGAACATTACCCAGCTGCACAGGACACTGTGCAAAGCACTCTTCCTGCTCCGAAATCTGCTTTCCACTTCCCTCCTTTAAGGCTGGCCCCGAAACCCATCTGCTTCCCTCAGCGGTTTTTGGGGCTGCCAGGCACTGCCCTGCCCTGGTGCTGCGACACAGCCCACCCAGCAGTGCCCCCCACAAAGCCTGCCTGACCTGCTGGGCTGTCCCTGGCCTGGGGAAGGACAGAGGAACACGGATTTCCCCAGAGGACGCTGATGGAGCGAGGACTTGATAAAGGCTGGGATGTTCAGGATGAGACTGTGCAGTCAGCAAGACATGGAGAGCGTTTTGGGGATTTACTGGGGATCTCAGGTGCTGGATTCCTTGGAAACCACCTGCCAGCTCCCCAGCACAAGGGGAAGGTTAACAAATAATTGCAGAAGCAACAGCATCGCTCATTAATGCCCCAGCGAAGCCAGGGGGAGCAGTGGTGCAGCATTTCCCCTCCCAGGGGCACAGACTCCCTTCCACAGGATTCAAACCCCCTCCTGGCACGGGAAATGTGGTGGTTTTGCAAGGGAATTACCCAAGAGGTTGGTGTCAGACTCCCCTTTATCCTTACCCCCAGCTGTGCTTTAGATTTAGTACACTGCTTTAGTGGCAGGCAGCTGTTTTTTCAGGCCTGACCATAAGAGGCAAATTTAAAAATCCCAAAAGCCCAGCTCCTATGCAAAGAAAATCCCTGGTGGCCACAAAATCCCAGCAGGTTTGGTGTGTGCTGGTGCTGAGCAGGGAAGGATCCACCCACAAACTCCTGGTCTGAGCATCTCACCCAAGAGATGGGTCACCTTATGGTGCAACATGAACAGGTGGCAGATTTGGGGCTTAGGCTGTGCTTTCCCTGGGGCTGGGCTTAGTCTAGGGAAGCAGCTCCTGAAAACAGGAGGAAAACCATCCAAGCTGCACCAGAGTCTCCTCAATGAGGCTGGGAAAGCTGTGTATGGATTACCAGGAGCCAGGATGCTGATACAGGTGAGGATCTGCTCAGTCCACTGTGATGCTCCTCAGCATCACATTCCCAAGTGCTTTTGGTGTCCAAAGCCAGTGGCTCCTCGGCCAAGAGTTCCACCCTTGCCAGCAGCAGCCTGGCCTTCTCCTGCAGGTACCACCGTGCTCCTCACCCCTTATCCCTGAACATCCTAAGTCCTTGCCTAGGAGTGGGAATCCCATCCCAAGGGGCTCATGGCACCCGGAGAAGGACAGACAGGCAGATCCCAGGATCCTCCCCAGGGAAGTCCCTGAGCCTCTGTGCCCGTCCACCCCACACAGATCCCAGTGTTCCCTAATTCCACACCACATCCTCCAATCTGGGGGCTGTCCCCTGTGGCCTGGGCCTGCAGGTCACACCTCTGCAGGGATGACTCAGTGACCAGCCCTCCTGGGTGAAGCTATTCAGGGCCCTGGAGAATATTTAGAAAAAAATTCCTGCTGTTGTTTTTGCTGGAGGGAATAACCCTGGGGGCTCCAGCAGCTGTGACCCAGCCCTAAACCCACCAGCAGCTGGGTTCCACACCTCCAACAGGGTCTTTGTGCAGCCAGGAGGGATTTTTGGGAGCTTTTGCACGGAGGATTTGAGGGGGAAGCAGGGAGAGGTGAGGAGTCCCAAGGCAGGACCCTGCTTTGCTCATCCCGACTCAGGAGGGTCAGGATGACACGTCACACCCCATCCCAGCACACGGACACGAACCCTGCTCCCCAAACCCTGCACCCTGGGCATCCATCCCACACACCAACAGACCCCAAATCCCACGGGATCGTGGCGCTGGCAGCGCTGCCTGACGGGAGCAGGAGCTGCTGGTGGGCTGGAATCAGCAGCCATATGTCAGCCAGGCTGGGGAACGAGGTGTCTTCAGCACGGGGTGAATCAGTACCACAGTCTGATATTCTTCTCCTGAATTAATTAAGCAGCAATCTCGCCTGCCTTTGTCTTCACAGCTATTATCTGCTTGTTGCAAAGTGCTCCTGGAAGCACCATCCCGATGGGAGAACAGAGTTCCCACCCCCCTCCTTGGCTGGCAGACTCATTCCCCTGCCACACGTGGGGAGGTGGAGGTGGGGAGGTGGGAGCTCCCCTGGGCACAAAGGCTCTCACACCTCCAGCTCCGGGATGGCCTGGTGGGAGCTCAGTTTGCAGCCAAGGTCAGTAATTCTCCCTCAAAACCCTGGGCACTTGTAGGGTCTCCACACCCTGGTGCTTCCCAGCTCACCCCCTTGGGATCCAGGTGCCCAAGGGATGCCCAGCCGTGGGGCTGAGGGCTGCAGAGAGGGCAGCTTTACACCACCACTGCCTCTGTTCCCTTTTGCAGCCACCACTGGCCTGTTTTACCTCCTTCCCTGGGATTTCAACAGGGTGGGAGGGGAGGATGTGCTTTGCCTCTGCCAGCAAATCCTCCTGAAGAGATGCACGGGACTTCACCGAGGCATGGATGTGCTGGCTCCGGTTCCCAGCTGGGGAAACTGAGGCAGGGAACGAGGGAAACCCCCTGCCTGGGAAACTTCTGCCTGGGGTGGACATGGGGACAACCACAGGTGGGTTGTGCAGAGTCCCCATCCCCGTCCCTGTCCCAGTTGTGGACTGAGACCAGTCCTGGGAAACTGGAGCCGTAGGAGGGAGAAACCCCATCCTCCCCCTGGAACTGAAGGCAGCTGGATGCCAGGAGGGCTGGAGGGAGCCCAGGGCTGAGCTGGACGTGCCAGAGAGCAGATGCCAGGGCAGGGACAGTGAACTTTGCCTGCCATCCCCAAGCTGCCCTGGCGAAGGCTGAGCCGTCCCACAGCCCCTCAGCCACCCCAAACCCCTCTGCCCCCACAGGCCACAGCCACCCCGGGGGGGTGCCCAGGAATTCCAGGTTTCTCCCTGCTGCCTGTAATCCGTCTGGCCCCGATATAGCCACTGACCCGGGGGAAATCTAAATTTAGCGGGATGAATCCTGCCCTGTGTCCAGAGGGTTGGTGCCCTTGAGGCAGCAGGACAGCAGGGCTGGGGGTGTAAGGACAGGTCCCCCCTGCAAGGCAGAGCCCCAGGACACTGCAGACCCTCTCCTGCAGGGCTGGGGCAGGGAGAGGGCCGTGGGGAGAGGAGATTGGAGCAGGGAAACAGCCCACTTGGGTTGTGATCCCATAAATAAGTGTGGCTTACAGCCGGTGGGAGCCCAAAGCTGAGACACGGCACAAAGCCCCCCTGCTCCCCCCGTTCCTCCAGCGTCTCACAGGAGAAGCATCTGCTCCGGGAGGCCAAGGCGGCCGCGGGAGGGGCCCGGGGGGGCCACACGGGCAGCGGTGGCAGCTGGTGCTGTCACTTGCCGAGGGACACCGAGGACAGCGAGCCCGACCGGGGTCCGGCCCCTCGCATCCCCCGGGGGATGCTCGGCGGGTCCGAGCCGCGCTGAGCACCGGCACTCGCGACACTTGGGATGGACCCCCCCCGTGGGACGCGGGGAGAAGGCGGCCGGGAGAGGACAGACGGACGGACGGACGGACAGACGGACGGACGGACGGACGGGGCGCAGCGCTGCGGTAACGCCGCCCTCTAACGGCCACCGGCCCCGCCGCTGCCCCCGCGCCGCTCCCCCCAACCCCGGGGGGACCCCCCGTGCCGAGGCGGGGCTCACCTGCACGTGGACCATCCCGCAGTCCCCGCAGGCGTCCGCGCAGCCCCCCGGCAGCACCAGGCACAGAACCCCGCGGCCGCCCCGCTC